TGCCTGTGCCTGCTTGTGCTTGGCAGCGAACTCCAGGTCGGGGATGGCCTTCATCAGCTCGGCTTGCGTCTCCCCCCGGAGGCGGGTGATGTCCCTGGCACTGTACTGGGTCAGCGCTGCCCGCTTCTCCTCCCAGTCCCGCTCGGCAGCCTGTGGGCGGCAGGCAGAACCCGCTGCAGCCCCCACCCACGCAGCAGCTTCTCCCGCCCTTGCGGGCAGGACGTGACCCACAGCCCTGCTGCTGCCCGCCAACCTGTTGCCAAGCCCGGGAGGAGTGGAAGGGGCCAGCGCTGCACCCATTCCCAAGCTGCACACCCCCCAGCGTGCAATTGGGGGCGCTCCCAAGGCTGCCAGCATCACCTGGGGCTCCCCAACCTCCAGACACCCCGTCGGCTACAAACCCAGCAAGGAGAAGGATGGACCCGGTTCCTGTTCCCAGTTTCAGCTGGCAGACGTAGGGATAGACCCTCTAGAAGAGCCACCCAGCCGAGGAGCCCACCCCAGGCTCTCACCTCCACAGATACGGCTTTGTCCGCACTCTTCTTGCTGGGGGTCTCTGGGCCCGTCTGGGTCTTGGCAGGTACCATCTCCGGAGCTCGGGAAGGGTTAGTGCCCTTGGAGGGGTGGGTCTGGGTTTGGGGGGGGCTGTGCCCGAAGCTGGGCATGCCCAGGGTCTCGGTGACAGCCGTCAGGTGGTGGAGGCTCACTGGGGGGCTGGGGGGCATCTCCAAATCCAGCCCTTTGCCGAAGTCTGTCTCAGGGGCCACCTTCTTGGGGGACTGGCTGAGGTTGCTGGGGGAGGTCCACACGCCCTCGTCCACTTGCCTGCCAGGGACAGAGCGAAGGCGCTGGGTGGCTGCACGGCACAGGGGGTTACTGCATCCCTCCCCAAGCCACGCCACAAAAAACTTGCTCTCCTGCAACTCTACATTAGACGGCTGAAGGTTTAGGTTCTCTGATGGCCAGGAAGGGGTTGGAGTTGATGCTACAGCCTCTCTTGGGGGAGCACACGAACGAGCTCCTCTACCTGGCTGTCCATTTTCATGAACCTTGTAGGAAATTGGCTCTCTCCGAATCCTGCCCCTCTGTCAGATCTGGCTGAAACTGCGCTTTGGATTCAGGAGTTATCAGGGCCAGGGAATGACAGGTAGGCAGATTCAGACACTGCACGATCATACAAGCTCATTTCCGTAGAAAACCAGGCTAGCAATGAGCCCGAGGCGAGCCTGGTGCCGGAGCACTCCTCCTGCAGCATGGCTGAGCTGTAAGCCATCCCGAAAGGTCTCAT